TTTGCTCTGTTTTTCTTTTCAGTGGGCAGCCCCTTCCTACCCATCTGAAAATGTTCTTTACATCTCACTTCCATTCCGTCTATTCTACCCCTGCCACCACTACCACTGGTCCTGCAGAAACCAACAAGACTAGTCAGATCTATGAAGCAGCTGTTTTCAATTCCAGCCTTTGCTCTCCGCTGCAGCTTGTGGCACGGTAGCTTGGCAACACAGTGCTGAGTAATTTTCCTCTCTACTTCAATTATGAAAGAATGTGTGAATGGTGTGGCCACACGGATGTAATTCTGTTTCAAATGTATGTTCTACACAGCACGGATGTAATTCTGTTTTAAATGTATGTTCTACACAGCCTCTAAGTCTAAGTGTGACCAGCACCCAGCTTTCTCAAGTTCCCCCCAATACAATGCCCACAAATAAGCAGGAAGCAGTCTCAAGAATCCACCACCCAATTCCTTTAACCTGTTGTGCCTAACCTCCTGCCTTTTTATCATAAAAAAGAGATGAGAAGCCGGGTGGTGGTGGCGCATGCCTTTAATCCCAGCACTTGGGAGGCAGAGGCAGGCGGATCTCTGTGAGTTCGAGGCCAGCCTGGTCTACAAGAGCTAGTTCCAGGACAGGCACCAAAAAACTACAGAGAAACCCTGTCTCGAAAAAAATCCAAAAAAAAAAAAAAAAAAAAAAAGAGATGAGAATGTAATGGTCTGTCCTGTCCCTTTAAGAAACAAGCCCACTCCCTCCTATGTCCGCCAAGACAAGCGGATCTTCTTTCCTCTTCTAGCCTAAGCTCTTTCTCTCTTTTCAGTCTTTCTCCTGAAGGGGTAGCTTCTATCCCCCTGCCATTTCTGGGTTTTTTTCTCTCTCTCTTTGCCCTTCCCCTTTTTTCCCTTTCTCTATCCCCTCCATAACCCACTAAATAAATACCCAGTTTCTCTCTGCATGGTGTGCCTATCCATCTTTGTCTCTCACCCTCAGTGGCTCGTCGTGGGCCCTGATGACACGCGAATGTCTCTCACCCGCTGTGTGGCTCCCTGTCTGGGACCTGCTGCCCCTTGTGGCCCACTGCCACCCCTTGGTGAACGGTGCCATTTTTACCATTACACTAAAGCCTTAGGATTTATCAATGAATCAGTATTCAATGATTAGCAAAGATTATAAAATGGCTAAGAAAAATAAAAATATATTACATTGTATATAGTATAAAATAAAAAGATGAAAGCTAGTTATACATGTTTTATCATTCACATACACACTATGTTGCCCTATCTTGGAGAACATTGGCAGTATCAGCATAAGAATAGGCAAACTAAATGGGTACTCATGGTGAGCATTTGAGTAAATCTGAGTGAAAACTCACAGATGAGGAAGAGATGAGCATTAGCCAATAGAAGCCAGGGGAAAGTACTCCAAGGCGTAGTTGATAAGGAACAGCTGATAACTGAGTCCTTAAGAATGTGCCTAGAAGTCAGGCGATGGTGGTGGTGTACAGGTCTTTAATTCCAGAACTTGGGAGACAGAGGAAGGCAGAGTTCAAGGCCAGCCTGATCTACAGAATGAGTTCCAGGGGACTGTTACATAGAGAAACCCTGACTCAGAAAACAAAAAATAAAAAGAACATGTCTAGAACAGTATGCACCAGGAAAGGAAGAGAAAGACATATCTACTGGGACCTAGTTGATTAGTCTGATAAGAATTTTGGCAAAAAAAAAAAAAAAGAAAGAAAAGAAAAGAAAAAAGAAAAGAAAAAGAAAGAATGATTTCTAGCTCTTAAAAAATAGGATTGAAATGGAGAGATGGCCCAGTGGTTTAGAGGACTGATTGTTCTTCCTGAGAACACAGGTTCAATACCCAGGACCTATATGGCAGCTCACAACTCTCTGTAACTCAGTTCCAGGGAATCTGACACCTTGATACCAATGCGCATCAAATAAAGTTTTAAAAAAATTAGGATAAAGAGTTTGTATTAGAAAAAAAATAAGATCTGACCTTAAGAAGGTATGATATGGCAAGTGAATAAGGGTTAACATAATTCAGGTGCAGAAAAGTAGGCAGACATACGATATGTCAGAAAGTAAACAGGATTTCCTCCAACACTGGGTATGGAGCACAATATATATATATATATATATATATATATATATATATATATATATATATACATATATATATACATATATATACACACACACATACACACACACACACAAAAAGTACATTTCTTGGACTAAGAAATTACTAGGTAATGGCCATAAACTGCAACACTAAAGGCAGATAGATAGGTGGAGCATTCGAGAGAGGGGTAAGTATGAGACATCCTAGAAATAAAGTGAGGAGTAAGTATTTAAGGAAGAAATGCCACAGAAAGGTAGAAGGAGCTAAGAACCCAGACTAGCAATTTAGGTCAACAGGGACTATGACTTCCTTCAAGAAATTTGGCCACACAGGAAAATAAGAGTGAAGACAAAGGCTGACGGTGTAGGTCAATGGCAGAATATTTGCTCAACAAGAATAAATGAAGAAGGAAGAAAAGGAAAGAAGGTATGAGGAATGATGAAGAAGAGGGAGGAGAACAAGGAGATGGCAACAATTGCAGAGGCAGCCATGAAAAATTAAAAATAAGGACCAGGGAAACAAGCTCCACTGGGAGCAGAAACAAGGAGCAAATCCAGTCCCGGGAGCCAACCCAGTTGGCTAACTGAAACTACTCAAAGAGTGAGCAAGAGCTAGAGACAGCTGAGGGTCTGGACATGAATCTGGGACCTTCAAGGGAGTTTACTTAAGCCAGGACCACTGCCAGTCTGGGCAAATCCAGTCCTGAGAGGCAACCCAGTCCCAGAATGCTGGTGGATCAGGATTGAGCCAGCTACCAGATCCAGAGTCAGCAATCTCCACCAGAAGAGGTCCAACTCCAAGCCAGGGACTTCTGCAGGACAGGTTCCAGACCAGGATATACAGAAACAGATCAAAGCCAGCAACCTAGGCCAAAATAGGCCTGAGACAGCAAACTCCAAGATAGCACAGACCTATCTACAGGAACAGGAGTAACCAATTGGGTAACTAGAACTGTGACAATGACTGTACCATGAGGAACAACCATCTGAGCTTTGGATTCACTGACACCTAGAAGATTATTCAACAGAATCTCAGACAGCCCCAACCACACCTATTAGAGGAAAAGAGGAGGGGAGGAAGTGTAAATTTTTTAATGGGAAAAACAATTAATTAATTAAAAAGAAAGAAAGTCAACAAAATAGACAAACCTTTATCCAAACTGACCAAGAGGCAGAGAGAGAATATCCAAATTAACACAATCAGTAAAAAAAAGGGGGACATAACAACAGACATGGAGGAAACACTAAGGATCATCAGGTCATATTTTGAAATTCTATACTCCACAAAATTGGAAAACTTAAAAGAAATGGATAACTTTCTGGATAAATATCACTTATCAAAATTAAATCAAGACCAGATAAGCAAATTAAACAGACCTATAACTGCTGAAGAAATAGAAACAGTAATAAAAAGTCTACCAACCAAAAATAGACCAGGACCAGATGGTTTCAGCTCAGAATTCTACAAGACTTTCAAAGAACTAATACCAATACTTCTCAAATTGTTCCACACAATAGAAACAGAGGGAACATTGCCAAACTCTTTTTATGAGGCTACAATTACCCTGATACCCAAACCAAAGAAAGACATTATTAAGAAAGAGAATTACAGACTAATCTCACTCATGAACATTGATGCTCAATAGTGCCACAAGGACATGTGCTCAACTATGTTCATAGCAGCTTTGTTTGTCATAGCCAGAACCTGGAAACAACCTAAATGCCCCTCGATCAAAGAATGGATAAGGAAAATGTGGTACATTTACACAATGGAGTACTACACAGTGGAAAAAAAATAATCACAGGTATAATTTTGCAGGAAAATGGATGGAGCTAGAAAATATTATTTTGGGTGAGGCAACCCAGATACAGAAAGACAATTATCACATGTACTCACTCATAGGTGGTTTTTAAACATAAAGCAAAGAAAGCCAGTCTACAAACCACAATCCCAGAGAACTTAGACAACAATGAGGACACTAAGAGAGACTTACATAGATCTAATCTACATTTGAAGTAGAAAAAGACAAGATCTCCTGAATAAATTGGAAGCACGGGGACCTTGGGGGAGGGGAGAGGCGGGGAGGGGAGCAGAGAAAAATGTAGAGCTCAATAAATATCAATTAAAAAAAAATATGTGGTGGAAAACTGAGAGACAAGGAAGGCTAAAGAACACACCATATTTCAGTCACTGCCATCACAGGAAAGATAAATAACTGACTCCTGCCAAAGTTAACTGCCATCTAAGAAAAAAGTAAGAAGGAAAATGACCTTTTTCAGAAAAACACAATAGAATCTGTTAAATACATAGAAGCACTGTTAAATAATTAACACGACTATGATACAGACAAACAAAGGGAAGATATCATCCCTTTAGGGTCATTCAGTGATTTCTGAAGGAATTGTAGCACATAATGCTCAAGTGTGTCAAAGAAAATCTGCTCAAAAGAGAACAAACTCTCAGAAGAAACTAATAACAAATAAAACAAAAGAAAAACACACCATAAGAATTAGCTGGACATTCCAGAAATGAAAAATGTAAGCACAGAACTAAAAAAAAAAAAAAAATCCTTCATCAGACACAGCAGTGGAGCTGAGGAAGATGAGAAGAACTTTACATCCAGTGAAAACATGATGTTGAAAGGGATGGAATAAAGACAAGGAGGAAAATATGCATGTAGGAAATTCTGAATTCCTTTGGATGAGGATAAATGGAACCCTGGATCTTCAGGAAAGGTAAAAAATACTGGATTACAACAGGTGAGTAACATTAAATTATTTTCCTTTTTAATACATTTAAAAGGCATATGACTCTTTGAAAGATCTAATAATTAATGATTGATCAGCCTCAGGTTTGATCCTACTTTTTTATCCCCCTGGGGGACAAAGTACCTGCTTTAGTTTTAGAAAGAAGTTTTCAGTAGTGCTGCGTTTGCTGAAGGGCCAGAACAACCTTTCATTAGGCGAACAAACTCGAACTTTCGTCTCCAAGAGAAAACGAACGGGCTCCTGTACTTCTGTTATCACCAAATCCACAGCTGTTGTCATAAACAACACTTTATCTAGATAGGGAGAGAAACAAGAAAGAGAAAAATATGGAAATATATTTGTTCATGTAATCACTGGCGAAGTAATTGATTTTAATTGTTAACTATTCAAGATACCTTAACTATGAAAATTATGCAAGCAGACATGGAAAATAAAATATTAGACAAGCAGCGGAAATCTTTTTCACACTGAGAACTCTGATCCTAGGTAGGATTCCAGAGGTAGAATTAGGTAGTGACAACAGTCCGGCATAAAGAAATATAGTCAGACCATGTCTACAAAAGTGCTATACATCTCTTAAGTGTCTTGCACAAACCCTGTAGATTCTCAAGTTGTCAATTTTGTTAGTACTGGCTTTTTAACCAGGCAGTGGTGGCACACGCCTTTAATCCCAGCACTCGGGAGGCAGAGACAGGCGGATCTATTTGAGTTTGAGGCTAGCCTGGTCTACAAATTGAGTTCCAGGACAGGCAAGGCTATTACACAAAAAACCCAGGATAGCTAAAACAATACAGTACAATAAAGGAACTTCTGGAGCTATCACCATCCCTGACTTCAAGTTCTACTCGAGTTAAAGTAATAAAAACTCAGATTAATGGAATCGAATCGAAGACCCTGACATAAATTGACACACCTGCCGGGCGGTGGTGGCGCACGCCTTTAATCCCAGAACTCGGAAGGCAGAGGCAGGCGGATCTCTGTGAGTTCGAGACCAGCCTGGTCTATAAGAGCTAGTTCCAGGACAGGCTCCAAAACCATAGAGAAACCCTGTCTCGAAAAACAAACAAACAAAAAATAAATAAATAAAAAATAAATAAATAAATAAATAAGACACACCAATGAACACATAATTTTTTAAAAAGAAGCCAAAATTGTAGAATGGAGAAAAGAAAGCATCTTCAACAAATGGTGCTGGTATAAATGGGTGTTGACATAAAGAAAAAGACAAATAGATTGATATCTATCGCCCTGTACAAAACTCATGTCCAAGTCAATCAAAGACTTCAACATAAATCCAGTTACACTGAAGCTGATAGAAGAGAAAATGGTGAACAGTCTTAAATACACTGACACAGGAGACCACTTCCTGAATATAATATCAGTAGCACAGACACTGAGAACAACAATTAATAAACAGGACCTCCTGAAACTGAAAAGCTTCTGTAAGGCAAAGGCCACTGTCAATAAGACAAAACAGCATCATACAGAATGGGAAAAAATCTTCACCAACCTCACATTTGACAGAGGGCTGAACTCCAAAATATATAAAAAAACTCAAGAAACTAGACATCAAAATACCAAATAATCCAATTTAAAATTAAACCCAGATCTAAACAGAGAATTCTCAACAGAAGGATTTCAAATGGCTGAAATACACTTAAAGAATTGTTCAACATTCTTAGTCATTAGGGAAATAAAATCAAAACTACTCTAAGATACCATCTTATACCTGTCAGAATGGCTAAGGTAAAAATACTAATGACAGCTTATGCTGCAGAGGATGTGGAGTAACAAGAACACTTCTCCACTGCTGGTAAGAGTGCAAACTTGTACAGTCACTTTGGAAATCAATATGGCCATTTCCCAGAAAATTGGGACTCAATCTACTTCAAGACTCAGGTATACCAATCTGGGGGATATACCCAAAGGATGCTCAATCATACCACAAGGACATGTGCTCAGCTATGTTCATAGTAACATTATTTATAATAACCAGAACCTGGATATAACCCAGACGCCCCTCAACCAAAAAATGGATAAGGAAACTGGTATATTTACACAATGGAGTATTACTCAAACTTACAGCAATCTGCCTGCTGCGACCTTCAGAGTGCTGAGATTAAAGGCATGTGCCACCACTACCCAGCTCACCTACGTAAGTGTAATGAAAAAAGGGAAGGAAAAAGATAGAGAAAGGAAGGAAAGAAAAACAAATAACCAAAAGTGATATTGTTTTTAGGTTAAATTTAGAAAAAAACTTCAGAATTATTCAAATTGTTTCGCCAAAGTTTCCTAAAACTGTGTATGTTAAAATTTTCTATCATCAGGCCAGGGGTGATGGCACGCACCATTAATCCCAGCACTTGGGAGGCAAAGCAAGCGGACCTCAGTGAGTGTGAGGTAAACATGGTCTACATAGTGAGTTTCACAAGAGCCAAGGCTACACAGAGTCCACATCTTAAAAAGCCAAAAACCCAAACAAACAAAAAATCAGTATTACCCATGGGCTGATACTGATGGCTCAATGGTTAAGAGTACTTGCTTCTCTTTTGGGGGAGTCAGGTTGAATTCCCACCATCCAGACAGCAGTCTATCATTATCTGTACCTAGTTTCAATAGATTTGACATCTTCTCTAACCTCTGTCAGCATCAGGTATGAATGAGTTTCATAGATAAACATGTAAAATAAGAGTAAGGAAGTCTTAAAACTCTGCACCACCTTTAGGAGTTTCTTCATTCACAACTTGAAAATGTGGGGATTTTGGATTCCAGCTTCCAGTAATAACATATGACTTTCCATCTGAACTTTTGCCCATAGACTCCTAAAGAAAAGAGTAAAAGTAAACCTTAATGAAAAAGTGGGCTTATCTTCATTTTGAGGCTTTTAAAAACAGGAATTCAAAATACATAATTGATAGTGATTGTAGTAATTTTTAAGAATTTACATATATTTGATATACAGTGTGGAAGTCTCCAAAATATATACTAAAACCAACCAGGAATCTAAAGTACTGAAAAGATTATACATTTCAAGTTACCCAGAACAATAACTGCTCATGGTCTTTCCCACACACTGTGGGAGAGTGCTATGCCAGGCAGAGGGAGATCCAATATCGCAAAACTAATAAAGATAGAGTAATTTGAAACTGATTTGTCATGTATCAAAATAACCAGTGGTTGCAAAGTAACTTTTATTAATTGCAGATGACCTGACTACATAGCCTAAATCCATGTGAAAAGGCTAACTGGTCAAGATATATCCCAAATTAACATCATTTCCTATAAAAGCTATAATTTTGAAGGTATTTATGAAGCATGACTGTTCTGACTCAAAGGACAATTATGCCACAAAAGCATAAAACTAGACTGTTCTATTTGCCTCTGTGACCATCAACTTAAAAGCTTTCTCAGGATGCTAGCACACTCGATCCAGAGCGGGGGAAATGAGTTGTTTGCCTTCCTTCCACGTTTATCACTGCAGGTACAGTAATTACTCACTCTTGCAATTGGTTGGCCGTCTCTGGGATGATACAGCAAACCATTAATGAAATCTGAATGGCTCTCTAAAACCTTATATTCATTTTTATCTTGATGATCTGAAATAAATAAATCTAATTTTCATATTAGCAGTTTAAGTACAAAATTTGGTTAGTGGAGCCGGGCGGTGGTGGCGCACGCCTTTAATCCCAGCACTCGGGAGGCAGAGGCAGGCGGATCTCTGTGAGTTCGAGACCAGCCTGGTCTACAAGAGCTAGTTCCAGGACAGGCTCCAAAACCACAGAGAAACCCTGTCTCGAAAAACCAAAAAAAAAAAAAAAAAAAAATTGGTTAGTGGAAGAAATGATTCAAGTCTAGTTTCTGGACTCCTATACTATCAATTCTAACTCTAAGGTGATATAATTTATAGTGTTTGATACTCAGTTCTTTCCATGTCATTTCTTTCTCCTGGGAGGTACAATATCTATAACCAAACAAGCAAAGCCATTTTGAATATATTCAAGTAGATTTATTGAATTCCCAGTATCAAAGGCACCATATACAACTCCTACACAATCCACAGGGCAGGCAGTTTTCCTTGTGGCATCCATCATCCATCAAAACTCAAAAGACAATAAAATGGACTTCTATTGAACAGTATTGTGAAACAGAGAAGGCACTGATGCAGCCTTGTGTAAAGCTGCTCAAGAATCAGAGTTTTGCTTGAAGGCAGAAGTACACTGAATGGTTACAGTTAAGATTAAAACACGTCAATTATTTTTATAACTGTTCCTAAAATTATATAAGGTAAATGTATATAAATCACATCAAATGGAAAAAAAAAATCAGGGTAATTTACCTCTCAAAGTCCTATGTTGAATTTTCTGTCAAGAGAATGATCACCATGTAACTTTTAGTTTTTCAAATGATTTTCATATAACAGCAATAACCTTAATACCTCCTACTACTTACATGAATTTTTGTTTCAGTTTTCTGTTTTGAACTTGTTTTTTTGAGATAAGGTCTGACTGTGTGACTGACTGCCTCAACCTCCCAAGTGTTGAAGTTACAGGCATATGCCACCATGAACAACTACTTCTGCTTGTGAATAAAATACACAGAAGCTTGATTCTCACATCAATCCTACCTGATAAGTACGCAAAAATTATTATCAGTACTACCTAGGTCCAAACACCAAGGCTGGTTCGGCGGTCGTGGTGCACAGCTTTAATCCCAGCACTTGGGAGGCAGAGGCAGAAGATCTCTGTGGAGGGGGAGTTCCAAGACTGGCTAAAAAGCTACAGAGAAACCCTGTCTGGGGGTGGGGGGTGGGGAGGAAATTCCCTTATCCTTGTGCATTGCTTTGTAGCCTAAATGAACACTTATATAAACAAGTCCTGAGTCCAGTGTGATAAAGTAAACCAATATATTAATGAAATAGAAATAGTTTATAATCTTCTAATAAGCACCAACCACAACCAAAAGAACCTATGACAAGAACCTTACCAAGTCCAACAAATGCATATCACTATTTCGGACATCTTTTCCTGGGCTAAGGAGAAGGCCAAAGCACCTGGAAAAAAAAAAACAAACCTGACATAAAGTCGTGATAAAACTAACAGCATACACATATATTTTAAGTTATGTACTTAACAATTAATTTTCTTATGGGTGGAAAAGGAGCATTCTAATAAATCAGTATTGTCACAATCATCATCTTTACCTGAGTTAAGCAAACTTTGTCTTTTACTACTGTAATGGTCTGTCCTGTCCCTTTAAGAGACAAGTGCCACCCATTCCCTCCCCTGTCCACCAAGGCAAGGGGATCTTCCTTCCACTTTCAGCCTGAGCTCCTTCCTTTCCCTCTCTCTCCTGAAGAGGTAGCTTCTCTTCTCCTCTATTCACCTCCCCTCCTTTCCTTCTCTCTACTCTTCCCCTTCTCCCCTTCATAACCCACTAAATAAATATCTAACCCCACGCTGCATGGTGCGCCCTGTCTCTGTCTCTCACTAGCAGCTCCTCGTGTGACCAGCTGACCTGCCTAAGTTGGCCACTGCTGCCACTCAGGGACCTGCAGCACTGTATTTTTAGCATAACAATTACCACATACTGGAGATTAGCACTACTAACTGAAGATTTATGAGTGATTTCAGAGTAATGAAACATTACAGTAAATACAAAAGAATTACCAAGAGCCAGGTAGGATGGCAGACGACTTTAAATTTAGCACTCAGGAGGCATAGGCAGGTGGATCTCTGAGTTACAGGACAACCAGAGCTACACAGAAAAACCCTCTCTTGAAAAAAAAACAAAAAACCAAAAACAGAAAAGAATTACCAAGGAGTGAAAATATTTTGAGAGTGAGTTTTTAATACAGTGCATGACTATTCTACAAGACAGATAAAACCCAAAATTCATATTTAAGATAAACATAGAGAAATATTTACCTTTCAATGGCAAGTTCTTTGTTAGCTGTTTGCTGCACACAGATGACAATCTTCTTATCAATTCCCTGTCGAAGTTTAAAGCATTGCCTGTCCTTGTCTTTGGGAACAGCACTGCAAGACCAATACATTTCATTAATGTCAATTTTCTTGACAGACACCTTAAAAATTCTTTTAAAGTCTCAGATTTTTGATTGTTTTCTGTCTGGTTTACAAGTAGTAGCAAAAAAGAAAATAGAACTGAGTATGAATAACAAGAAGGAAAAAAGGGTAACCAATTTATTTATTGCCTAACCATGACAAGTTACTATCCTAAGGTAGTGATAACCTTATGAAATAAAAACTACTGCTGTTGTTATTATGGGTAGCCAATAAATGCCAGCTTAAGGAAGTTTAAAAGTCTTAAAGTGCTTCTTTACCAAAACCAGTGCCTAATCTCCCATATACTCTCTGGCTGCACGGATCTCAAAGGTGACAGCACCAGTGGCAATTAGCTTTTATGCAGCAGCTCTAAACTATCTTATTGCTTTAAAATACTAATTTAATGGCAAGAGAACTTGGCAGATAAAATACATGAGTAGTTGAAAACTGGTAGGTATTCATCACATAAATACTACTTTGGAATATATGTGCATTTTTGCATTTGTCAATCCATATTTTGCAACACTTTCATTACAAACAAAAAAATTCCAGCAGAGTTTAGAAATGACAAACATGTTCTTTTTTTCCCCTTAACTTATCTTTGTCCTCTGTTCTGCCAATACATTAAAAAGGTGTAAGAGACACCAGACATTTCCATAAGCACTGGACAGGAAGAACAAACAGACCAGCTACACCAGGATGTGACCAGCACCCAGCTTTCTCAGGTTCCCTTCCCCAAAGACAACGTACACAAAAAAGCAGGAAGCAGTCTAGATAATCCACTGCCCCAATTCCTTTAATCTGAGGTGCCTAACCTCCTGCCTTTTTATTATAATAAAGAGATGGGAATGTAATGATCTGTTCTGTCTCCAAGACAAGCCATGCCCACTCCCTCCCCCATCTGCTGAGGCAGGCAGATCTTCCTTCCTGCAGCCTGAGTTTCTTTCTTTTCCGTCTCCCTCTCAAAGAGCAGCTTCTTCCTCTCCCCACTTCTCTCACTCTCTGTGTTCTTCTCCCCTTCTCCCTCTTCCCTTCCATAACCCACTAAATAAATATCCAACCTCACTCTGCATGGCATGTTTATCCATGTCTCTGTCTCTCCCTCCCTGCCCGGGACCAGCCGTCTTGTGGCAGCCCATCTGTCTCTCTCGCCTGCTGCAGCCACTTAGGGAACTGTACAGTCCCTGCCCGGGACTGGCTGCTCTCGAGACCCACTGTTCGCTGCCTGCTGCCACATGGCCCACTGCCTCCACTCAGGGACCTGCACCAGTCCTTCCCTAGGACTGGCTGATCTTGGGATCCGCTGCCCACTGCACCACTAGAGGACCTGCTGCAGCCGCCGGAGATCCTGCAGAATTTTTTATTTAATCCATTACCGACGGGCCTTAATTTCAACTGTCCTTATGAACCTTAGCCTACTGTGGTCTAAGGATGGTTAAATGTAAACAAATACGCTTTGAGCAACTTGTAACACTAACAGGCTGAGTAAGATACAGCTTAGCAGTAGAGTGCTTGCCTAATATGCCCTGGGTTCAGTTTTCAGTGCCACAAAACAACATGACTCAGTATATACAGAGTGTCTTCCAGGCCATGGCCTCAAAGGATGCATTGTAGGAAGCGGATGGAGAGTAAATACCGGGGGCCAAATTACATTTCTTGACCTATGACTACACTACCCAAACAAGGACCTTTACATTTAATTCCCACTGTACACCTTATGAGCTAAGATCACGCCTTAGTCTTGGGAGGCCAAGGCACAATTTCTGAGTTGCTCAGAAAGTTAAATGAGATCAAATCAATCAATCAGTCATCAAAGCAACTGAGCACCCAGCCAGCCAGACAACTAACCAAACATTTTGAAAGTTTCTCAGGGGTGAATTTTCTTAAACTGTTATTACAATGTAATACATATTATTTTTTTAATAAAATTTGCCACCAGATGATGTGAAAAGTTCAGAGACAGCAGTTTAAGAAAAAAGTCAACTGTTGTGCTTTTCACTTAACAAATTATTAGAAATCATATATTTTCCTCATAATTTGATTCTATAATACATATTATTTTTTTAAATAAAATTTGCCACCAGATGACGTGAAAAGTTCAGAGATAGCAGTTTAAGAAAAAAGTCAACTGTTGTGCTTTTCACTTAACAAATTATTAGAAATCATATATTTTCCTCATAATTTGATTCTACCAATTTTATGTGGTACCATAGAAGAGACTTATACATACAATTATTAATTATGATTACTCATTTTATGATATGAGTTATATGAAAAAAACTCAGTCATCTTGCAACCATAACTTCAGAATCTAATTCTGGCTACTGCATTTCACGAGTAAGGCAACTGCATACAAGAAAGGTGAAGGAACTTCCAAACAGCCACACTGGTGAAATATCAGCAACTAAACCGAAGTTTTGATGTTTATTTCTGGGTCCTTCCTATTACTCAAAAAAAAATATATATTTTTAAAACCAAACTAGCCAGGTATGGTGGCTCACACCTGTAATCTCAGCCCCTAGGAGGCTTACTGGAAAATTACTATGAATTTGAGGCCCGTCTGAACTACATTTTGAGGATCTTTCCCCGACTACACACACACACACACACACACACACACACACACACACCAGACATTCTCTGATTAACCTTAGCTGCCCTGGTATTTTCTCTGTAGATTAGGATGTCAGGCTGGCCTTAAACTCAAAGGTCCACCTGCCTCTGCCTCCCAAATCCTGGAATGAAAGGCATGTGCCACCACACCCAGTTTACATTGTGAGTTGTAAGCCAGCCTGGCATCCTAGAGAGGACCATTTATCTCAAAGGATAAATGAATGAATGAATGAAATTAAATAATGAAAAGAACATAAACTTAAATTATCTTTAACTCATATTTCTTCTTCTAATAAGGTTAGATAAACTTTAGTGCTAAAACTAGATGTCAAAAATCTTAAGTTCTTTAAAACAAACCACATTTTAAACAAAGACAAATTGTGCTAAATAGTTTTGTCAACTTGGTACAAGCTAAAGTCATCTGGAAGGAACCTCAAATAAGAAAATGCCTCCATGGGCTGGAGAGATGGCTCAGGGAGTAAAAGCATTGCCTGCTCTTCCAGAGGTCCTGAGTTCAATTCCCAGCAACCACATGTTGGCTCACAACCATCTGTAAGGTCTAGTGCCCTCTCCTGGCCTGCAGGCATACATACAGACAGAATATTGTATACATAATAAATAAATATTAAAAAGAAAAAGCCTCCATAAGGTTTGGCTGTAGTCAAGCTTGTAGGACATTTTCTTAGTGACTGGGGTGGTGGTGGGGGAGACAGACCAGTCCATTGTGGATAGAGCCATCCCTGGTCTGGTGGTCCAGGTTTTCATAAGAAAGCAGACTGAGCAAGCCATGGTGAGCAAGCCAGTAAGCAGCATTCCTTTTTTTTTTTTTTTTTTTTTTTTTTTGGTTTTTCGAGACAGGGTTTCTCTGTGGCTTTGGAGCCTGTCCTGGAACTAGCTCTGTAGACCAGGCTGGTCTCGAACCCACAGAGATCTGCCTGCCTCTGCCTCCCGAGTAGCAGCATTCCTTCATGGCCTCTGGACCAGCTCCTGACTCTTAAGTTCCTATCCTATTTGAATTTGTGTTCTCTGGCTTCCTTCAATGATAAACTGTGATTTAGCATAAGCTAAATAAACCCTTTCCTTTCCAGGTTGCTTTGGTCATCACAGCAATAGTAAACCTAAGACACAAATTTAGCTTTAAATGTAGTCTACTTATCTTAGGCCATAATTCTTATCATCAGTCAGCTAGAGCCATTTTGACTAAAATAATAAAGTAACAGGTACTTCAACACTTTAAAATTCTTTAAACACTGACACTATAAATCTCTTTCCAACTTCTATTGTTGTCATTGACTTACTCCTTGTAGGAAAAACCATTTTAAGTATGAAAGGTATTTAATCTGACCTAATTTCTTCTGTACCACAGATAATAGTTTACTAAATAAATTCACAAAATAAACAGATAAGAGGCTTTACCTAAAATAACCTTTACCATCATCTTCTTTTATTTCTAAAGACACAGAGAAGGTAAAAATGTCACTGTCTGGAGTCTGCGGTGTGGCAGTGGCTGAGAGTGGGGTCTGCTTGGCAGTACGGCGGAAGGCAGTGGCAAAGCTGTAAAGGATCCGGCTTACCTACAAGTAGACATGTCAGGAGATTGGCTGTTATCATTAGACAGGAGACACTCTCCCCCGCCCCCAACTCACAAAAGCATTTGTTGTACAATAAACATACTTTAAGAGAAATAAGCAAAATCAACATTTGGGGATATGGCTCAGAATAGCAGTTACATTTTTTTGGGGGTGTGGGGGGGTGGAGGATGGGGTAACAAATGAAATCATTCCCAAATGCCGGGTGTGCTCTGTATCTTCATCTGGGTAATGGTAGAAAGTCACCAGGCTACCACTGAAGAGGTCTATACTTTATACAAAGCCCATCTGAGGGTGAGTGAGATGACAAAGCAGGTGGAGACAGTTTCTGTGCAAGCCTAGAGACCTGAGCCAGATCTCTGGAACCCTCCTAAGGATGGAAGGAGGGAACCAATGCCACAAAGTTGCCAACTGAACTCCACATCCCCCAACATGTACACAAACGTGCAATCATAATAACCATAGAAGCAGAAATTAGTTTTATTGAGGTTAAATACTTATTTACTTAGGAGAAAGTAACACTTGTCTTTCACTTACCCACTTTTTTAGTTAATTATCTAATCTGTTAGATTTTAAAACAAAATCATCAGAGGGATTTTTTAAAAACAGTGAAAAAATACACACACATACATACATACTCAATTAAAAATCTCAACTGAAAAGAAAATCGCATCCTTAATGTCAGATTCTATGTAAATATACTTTTAATAAGAAGCATGGCTTTAACAATTTAGGAAAAACTCAGGACAGAACAGCTTGCAAATGTGTCATTGTCAGGGTAAGAATGTGGGTCTAATCCACTCAGCCGATCACCATCAGGCCTCTTACAGCACTGCATGTACAAGTGCATGGGTGTGCTCACTAGTGTGTGTGCATAGGTCAGCGACTGCAGTTGGGTGTCTTCATCCATTATTCTCTATTTTCTGATATATTCTATACTTATCTCATCGAACCAGGAAGTCTCTTTAAACTAGAATGGCTAGCCAGCAAACCCCAGGATCATTTTACCCATTTAGTATCTCCCTGTCCTGTGCCATTTGCAGTAATGGTGGTGAAATCTCATTTGTAAAGACTTACAGCCTCTTGTATTTCACAGCGAAATACATGTATCCTGAAAAGCTCTGCGTTATAGTGACTTTCAGTGAATGCAAAACAGTCGCTTTCAGGGGTACCATCGTGTCCTCTGACACAGAAGAGGATCTTGTAGATAGGGTAGTTTGCTATTTCAGTGTTGGTCTGAGGATCTAAAAGTCTGTTCAGACAAAAAAAGAAAAAAAAAGAAATTTATTATGAGTAACATATTGTATTTATATTAGGACTCAAGACATCTGTCCAGAAAGATGATAACGTAATCCACTTTTAGTAAGCTAGCCAAGAACACTATATTTTGATACATAAATCACATAGGGACGTTGAAGGTACTGATCATATAATTCCATGTTAATCTAGAGAAGTACATGTTTGGGAGAGGCCCATAGAAACGTATCAACATCAGCAAACATGAGTTTTGTAGCCTGCAACTAAAATAAAGACAAAACCAGTACTAACTAAACAGACTGTGAAACCTTTGCACCTGATTACCATTTTAAAAGAGTGTTCTGTTTATAAAAGTAAAAAAAAAAATTGCAGTACATGATTGAGCATAAAAACCACTGCTCAAAACCATATATTAAATCCAAAGCATAGTTAATGCAAGTCAAAAGGACATCACCCAATCAAATCTACTTACTCCACAAGTATTTATGTGATAGCTACGATATTCTAGACTCTTTAGGGCACTAAAGATCGTGACGGAAGGTCAAGAAGTAACTATTCAATTTCCACACTGCAAGGCAAAGTCATCAATGGGAAATGTTCTAGGAGCCCTCTTCAAAATGGAAGAACCCAAAAGGGGTTCTAACCCAGGTTAAAGTCTCTTTCACAAAGGCTCTGAGAATGTGGGGCAAGACAGATGTTTTCTTAATTCCTTACTGAAGGAAACTCTATTAGTATACAAAGCATAATTTCAGTTGTTAGAATAAGTATTCACTTTGAAATGCACATTAAAAGTAATCACAATTAATCTTTTGTTTGGTTTTGTTTTCTTGTTTTTCAAGACAGGGTTTCTCTGTAGTTTTGGAATCTGTCCTGGAACTCATTCTGTAGACCAGGCTGGTCTCCAACTCAAAGAGACTTGCCTGCTTCCGCCTCCTAAGTGCTGGGATTAAAGGCGTGCGCCACTACTGCCTGGCTGAAAAACCCAGCATGTTTCTAAGGGAATTGAAAAACACAGAAACTACTGACCAAAGTAAAAATTGGATCAATTATTATTTTTAATAATTTATTATTTTTCTTTTATGTTTATTGGTGTTTTGTCCGTGTGTATGTCTGTCGGGTTTCCCTGGAACTGGAGTTACAGACAGGTGTGAGTGGTCATGTGGGCGCCGGGAGTTGAAACTCGGGTTCTCTGGAAATGCAGTCAGTGCTCTTAACCACTGAGCCATCTCTCCAGCCCTGGATCAATTATTTTCTAAACACAATAAAAGCAGTAACAACGGGGAGACTTTTGAGCCAATAAGTATACCAGGAATGTATCCTAAGGAAATTAAGATCCAGCAAATTACCCACCCACTTAAAAGGCACTAAATAATTGCACAATAACTGACCACACACTTTTAATCCCAGCACTCGGGAGGCAGAGGCAGGTGGATTTCAGTGAGCTTGAGGCCAGCCTGGTCTACAAGAGCTAGTTCCAGGACAGGCTCCAAAGCTATAGAGAAACTCTGTCTCAAAAAACAAAAAAGAGTAAATAAAATAAAATAAAATAAAAAATAAATAAATAAATAAAAGATTTCCCCTATCAAGGCCTTTTGCTGTGATATATTACCTCACCAGGCAGAGAGACACTGAGCAGCTGACCTTGGACTAAAACCTCTGAAACCACTTACCAAATACTTCTTTTTTAAAAATCATTTCTCTAGGGTTCTATTACTGCAAAACAAAGGTGAGCACACACATACACAAAGAGTTTGGTACTGGGTATGTGACTACACAAGAAGATATAAGATTAACTCGGAGCTATTGCTCAGGAGACATCTACAGTGTGTGTGAGCGCCCCCTCCCCCACCAGACAGAGAGAACACATAAACAGACACAAACACACAGAGAAACGCGTGGGGGGGGGGAGAAAAAGAAAGAAATGACAGACATACACACACTGAGACTGACTGATCTGTTGGCCTCCCTAGCACTGGGATCATAAGCTACTGCCATAATCCTTTGAATTCATATCCTTGTGATACACAGCTATTTCCTTGGCCTTTATAAAGCGTATACATGAGCCAAGATTTTAACTGATTATCAACGAGAAAGTAAAATTAAAAGTTTTTTTTTAACTCATGTTATTTTTCTGAAATAAACATATTTCTGAATTAGCAATTCTTTATTTAACTCGTTGATAACAATCATGTCATGGCTATCTTTATGTCTTTGAATAAACAATACTCATTTCTAGGACTTCTCTGGAACTCTGATTTCTCATTTTAAAAAAGAAGAGGAAATCTTTTCTCTCATTGTCATGTTTCAACTATCCCCAAACCATTTAAATCTCTAATAGTGTATACAGGATGGGATTGGGATGTGGAGCATGTACAAATGAACATCCATTTCTCATGAGGGTTGCAATTCGAGGAGGATATGAATATGGCATATGTTACCTACTAGTGAGTGCTTCCTTGTGCAACAGCACTTCACAGAGGCCAGACTTACCTCACAGTTCCTTCAGATATATTCGGCACTGAGAGGGTCACATCCAGAGAAATCTGACACTGACTTCTCAAGATGGACATCATCCTCAAGGCTTCCACTTCACTCCGGGGAGCATTTACTGAGGCACAGCCTAAGTAAGTTAATTTACTAAAAACCACACTATCCTCATCAGCCACTGGTGTGAAAGGACTTGACACTTCAGAATCTGAAAGAAACAAAATATAAGAATATGCTTCTTCTTCTCTATTTGAATAGTATTGATGTGAACAGCAAATAAACATCTAAAAGACACATTTACATTAAAAAAATATATAGTATGCCAAATTTCCAGTGGGCAAAATAAGATGATAGATAGATAGATAGATAGATAGATAGCCCATAGAAGCTAGGGAGCTTACACTTGAACTCTAATACCAATATTTTCAGGCACTGATGTTAATTCCAAACCCAAATGTAACCTGAGATTCAGGTCTGACTCCTCCTTTTGTTCCCTAATTTGTTCTGATTTTATAATTTACATCTAAGCCAAATGCACATTCAGTGACCAACTACTGTTTTTCATTCTTTGGTATAATAGGAAAAGTTAAAGGAAAGGTCAGAATGGCATATATATTTGACAACTTCTTAGGTCTACAATTTGGAGCTTTTAGAGAACTTAAATGGTTTTCAAATTATTGAATCTAGTATAGGACAGAAACACTCAAGTATTAAAAACAATAACCTTCAGTTACATAAGCAATGCAGCAATCCTAACCTCCTTGTCTAGGTTCCACTGGCAAACTCATCTCTGGTTTTTGAAGTCCTCCTAGTGGCACAGGGTTAATGGTAGACGAAGCTGAGAGTTGATTACAAAGAGGCCCATCTCCTTCACCATCTGGCTGTGACCTTTCCCCTGGCTGGTCATCCATGGGAGGGTCCATCAGCACATCTGCGAGCTCTTTCTGCAGCTGCTGCTCACTTCCATTCCCTACAATCTAAGGGTCACAAACACAATCAGCAAAGCAAGAGGCCAGCACTGATTCAAGCAGGTCCATGTTCTGAAGCAAAGGATCAGCAAAGGCAGTGTGCTGGACATCACTCTCAAATAGATGTCCTAAAACAAATAAAGGCTGCAGCTGCTTTCTTCTTCTATGAAATAGTACAGAATGAATCTAAAACAATATTCACAAATAGGTAATAACATGACAATATTAATGTTTTCTGTTTAATAATGTTTCTTAAGAAAAAATGTGCTTGTTTCCAAAAGTTAAAACAGATGCAAAATACAGTAAAAGCTCACAAATATTTTATGACTCAGTCTCCTGTAATAAGTCTCCTCGATTTATATATGAACTGAGATATGCGAGTAAAGCTGACAGCATGAGTATGTCAGTCCTAAGAAAGAAAAGTACTGTATTCCAATGACTTACTTTATCTTTATGTTTGTTTGTTTCTAATAGTTTATCATTAGTTGCTCATAAACCAGAGTGGACAACTGCAAAATTAAGTTAAGACTGTTTGATGCTAAAAAAAATCATACAGATAATAAAACCAAGAAACTTATGGTTTAAGAAATATCTTAAAACTTAATAAAATAAGCCAGGCAGTGGTGGCACGTGTCTTTAATCCCAGTACTCAGGAGGCAGAGGCGGGTGGGTCTCTGTGAGTTCAAGGCCAGCCTGGTCTACAAGAGCTAGTTCCAGGACAGGCTCCAAAGCTAGAGAGAAATCCTGTTTCAAAAAAACAAAAACAAAAAAGCAAAACAAAACAAAACAAAAAAAAATAAAATAATTTAGAAAAAAAAATTAAAAGGAAGGGCTACATGAGGGGGCATTCTGAATACTATTACCAAACATTTATTGCTTATTATACTTTTTAGTTCCAGAATTTTCAGGTAACTCTTTAAAAGCAATGTAGTTCCTTAGGGATAGTTTTGTCTAAATGCCTCTGGTGCTGGTGGAAGTCAAAAGAGCTTGGCAGAGTCCCTGGAATTAATGTTACAGACAGCAGTGAGCCACCCTGTGAGTGCTGGGCATCTAACCTGGGACCTCTGGAAGAACAGTCAGTATTCTTAACTGCTAAGTCATCTCTCCAGTTTTCCTTATTTATACTGTCTACAGTATTTGATGTTATTGTCATGTATATATCTGTTCCGCAAGCATGATATTCTATAATTTGTTGGACATAGCAATAAAAGACTACTTTGAAATGTTTTTTTTTTTTCTGCTTTTTTAAGACAAGGTTTGTCTGTGTAGCTCTGGTTGACTTGGAATGTTTAATATGTTAATTTCAATGGTCACTAACTAGAAATTTCTGTTGCCTGCTTTTCTTCTTTTCAGTGAATAGATAGTATTTTATTTCTGTATATGTCCACATTTTGTTGTTGTTGAAAACTAGACACTCTAGACAATTTGTTGTACTTAGGATCTTGACCCCACTTGAGGACTTCTGATTCCATCTGTTGAAGAGCTGTTTTATGGCTTGTAGCTCCTTCCAGGCAAAAATCTGAGTCTCTGCTCTGGAACTAGGAGTTGAGTTGGGTCAATGACCTTCCTGAACCCTATTTTCTTTCTAATATTTTTTTCATAAACTACATTTTGACCTCATTCTTTGATCCATTCCCCATTCCTCCTAGGCCATCTTGATTATGTACCGGTCTGCAGAGCGGATATGGTTATCGTGTTCCTGAGGTGACAGAGGAACAAGATGGTGAAGTGCAAAATGAGAGAATCTTACTGTACTTTTATGATTAAGATTTTTTATTTGCTGCACTTCTTTTCCAAGATTTCCAGAGGTTTTAAATGCTACTTTTTATTTTTGTTTTAATAATTGTCAACAGTGTTCTTGGGAGTAGGTCTTGCTATCATGCTGGGCATCATTCTCAGCTAGCTAGCTTTTTAAAATGTAAATTAGATCATGTTCCCATTCAAAACTTTCAAGAATTCTCCTCACATTTAGAACAAAGCTCAAACTTGTAACCATGATCCAAAAAAAAAAAAAAAAAAAACCAACCAACCAAACCAAAAAAAAAAAAAAACAAACAAACCTGCTTTCTCTTAAAAAAAAAAAAAATTCTTGGGCATTGAACCAATACCATGTACATACTAGGAAGGTGCTCTACATTCCCAGCCCCTCAATACTGCTCATTAAAATAGTAACTGTCACTAATTTTTAAATATTTTATTTTTTTATTGATGTGTACATACGTATAAATGCATAAGATTACCTAGAACTGGAGGGTTTTTTTTTGGTTTGTTTGTTTGTTTTTCTTTTCGAAACAGGGTTTCTTTGTGGAGCTCTGGAGCCTGTCCTGGCACAAGCTCTGTAGACCAGACTGGCCTCAAACTCACAGAGATCCGCCTGCTTCTTCTGCCTTCCAAGTGTTGGGACTAAAAGTGTACACCACCACTGGCCTGAAAACTGGAGTTATTTTAACTTTTTAAAATTTATTCCTTCATCCATTTACAAGTGATAGATAATAAGAATATGTTGATATGCTGGTGAGATGGCTCAGTCAGCAAAGGAGATTGCTTTATTAGTTGGGTTTGGGTCCAAGGATTCACATGCTGTATGGAAAGAACCAACTCCAGTGAATTGCTTCTGACTCCCTATAGGGTATAATGTAAGCAGTTGACAATTTATACACAAATACACAAAAACATTTTTAAAGGAATTTTTTAAAATTTGACAGAAGCTTGCAATAGTTAAAAAACAAACATATCTGGGCAGTATGGCACAGACCTTTATTCTTAGGACTCAGGAGGCAGAGGTAGGCAAATTTGAGTTTGATGGCAGCCTGGTCTACAGAGAGTTCTAGGACAGCCAAAGAATCTCCCTACCCCCTCAAAAAAAATCATAAAATCTTTCATTCCTTACCCATGCATCCTCTCTTTTTCTTAACATATTTACATATTTATTTATTTATTTATTTATTTATTTATTTATTTTGGTTTTTCGAGACAGGGTTTCTCTGTGGCTTTGGAGCCTGTCCTGGAACTAGCTCTGTAGACCAGGCTGGTCTCGAACTCACAGAGATCCGCCTGCCTCTGCCTCCCGAGTGCTGGGATTAAAGGCGTGCGCCACCACCGCCCGGCCATATTTACATATTTAAATTATTAGTTTTTAAAGCAGGTTCCAATTTTGAAGACTGGCCCCAACTTACTGCTCAGCAGAGGACAACCTCTAAATTTCGCTCCTCATGCCTCTACTGACAAATGTTGAAATTATATGTCAACATTCCTAGCTTTATATGGTACTAGAAAGCAAGTCTGGAACTTCTTACATGCTAGGCAAACATGCTACCGCCTAAGTCGAAATCCCAGGCCACATTACCCTCTGATGTCTGTATTCTTTCCCAACCCATTAGTGTATAGGCTCTAAGAGGTCAGGGCATTGTTCACCACCACGTAACCAACAATTGGCACAGAGAGTTTTCAAGAAATATTTGTTGAATGAACACATATAGTAGAACTTGGAATATTGTAATTACTTATAATTTAAACAAAAAAGTTCAAAAATATATTTCCATTTATATCCATGAAGAGCAGAACAGCAACGGAGCATGTCAAAAGAAGTAATGGTTCTTTATTTACTTGGGAAATGATAAACAGAGTGGCCAAAAGGGGAGATACTTAAAGCTCTATTTTTGGCTTAAATGTTATTTTTTTATGAATGGCAATGCTGACCTCGTATTGCCCTTACACTACACATACAAGCCTGAAAGAAATAAGTATTTGGTACAGCAGTGGTGGCACACTCCTTTAAACAAAGCACAGAGGCAGAGGTAGGCAGATTCCTGTGAGGTCAAGAACAGCCTGGTCTACAGAGCAAGTTCCAGAACAGCCAGAACTACAAGGAGAGACCTGGTCTCAAAAAACAAAGAAACAAAGAAAACAAACAAACAAACAAACAAACAAAAAACCAACAACAAGAAACAAGTATTTTTTATTAAATAGTAAAAAGAGAATAATCCTAATGTTAAAAATGTTTATACTCTAAGAGTTTTGACAGGGGTTTCAAAAAATTTAAGAGAACCTAATCAAAATAAAAAATCCTTAAATAGCTCTACAGGAGCAAATCCATACCAAAATTTACAGAACTAGGACAAAGCCAAGAACCTAGTCCAAAGTAGGCCTGATGCAACAATTTCCACAGGAATAGGACTGAAGCAGCTACATAGGATGAAGAGGGCCTGGGAAACCAAGCTCCACAGGAGCAGGAGCAAATCAAGTACAGGGACACTGGCAGACCTAAGACAGCAAACTCAACCAGAAAAGGTACAGGGGAGCTGATAGAGTGAGCCAGAAAAAGAGACGGCTGAGGGTCCGGATGTGAATCTGGGACCATCATGGGAGTAGACCTAAGCCAGGACCCTGGGGGTCTGGGCGTGACCCTAGGACCTCCCAGGAAATATGCCAGAGCCAGGTCCTCTGTGGTCTAGGTGTGAATCTGGGACCTCCTAGGGAGTAGGCAGGAATTAGAGATCTCATTGGTTCCAGGTGTGAGTCTGGGACCTCTGTGGGTCCAGGTGTTGTTGGTCTGGGACATCAAAGGAAATAGGCAGAAACCAGAAACTGAAGAAAACACCAGAAAGTGGAAAGATCTCCCATGCTCTTGGGAAGGTAGAATTAACATAGTAAAATTGGCAATCTTACCAAAAGTAATATACAGATTCAATGCAATGCCTAGCAAAATCCCAGCAAAATTCATCAAGGACCTTGGTACTCAACTTCATATTGGAAAAGCAAAAACCCAGGATAGCTGATAGCCAAAACAATCATGTACAATAAAAGAACTTCTGAGGGCCCGGCGATGGTGGCGCACGCCTTTAATCCCAGCACTCGGGAGGCAGAGACAGGCGGATCTCTGTGAGTTCGAGGCCAGCCTGGTCTACAAGAGCTAGTTCCAGGACAGGCTCCAAAGCCACAGAGAAACCCTGTCTTGAAAAACCAACCCCCCCCCCCCCAAAAAAAAAAACACCTTCTGAGGCATCACAACTCTACAGAGCTACAGTACTGAAAAAAGCCTGGTACTGGCATAAAAACAGACAGGAGTACCAATGGAACCGAATCAAAGAACCAGATATTAATCCACACATCTTTGAACACCTGATTTTTGACAAAGCAGCAAAAAATATCAAATGGAAAAAGGAAAGCATATTTTACAAATGGTGCTGGCATGACTGGAAATCAACATGAATAAGAATGAAAATAGACCCATATCTATCACTATGCACAAAACTCAAGTCCAAATGGATCAAAGACCTCAACATAAAGCCAGTCATACCGAACCTTACAGAAGAGAAAGTGGGAAGTACACTTGAACACATTGGCACAGGGAACCACTTCCTAAATATAACCCCAGTAGCACAGACACTCAAAGAAACAATAAATGGGACCTCCTGAAACTGAAAAGCTTCTGTAAATCAACATGGTCAACAAGACAAATTGACAGCCTACAGAATGGGAAAAGATCTTCACTAACCCCACATGAGATAGAGGTCTGATCTCCAAAATATACAAAGAACTCTAGTAACTGGTCATCAAAAGAACAAATAATCCAATAAAAAATTGGAGTACAGACCTAAACAGATAACTCTCATCAGAGGAATCTAAAATGGCTCAAAGACACTTTAGGAAATGCTCAACATCCTTAGTCATCAGAGAAATGCAAATCAAAACAACTCTGAGATTCCATCTTACACCTGTAAGAATGGCCAAGATCAAAAACACTGTGACAACTTATGCTGGAGAGGATGTAAGGAAAAGGGAACACTCCTGCATTGCTGGTGGGAATGCAAGCTGGTACAACAGTTTTGGATGTCAGTGTGGCGATTTCTCAAATTGGGAAACATCCTTCCTCAAGACCCAGTAATACCACTTTTGGATATATATCCAAAGGATGCTCAATTGTGCCACAAGGACATGTGCTCAACTATGTTCATAGCAGCATTGTTTTTCATAGCCAGAACCTGGAAACAACCTAAATGCCCCTCAATTGAAGAATGGATAAAAAAAAAAAAATGGTACATTTACACAATGGAGTACTATACAGCAGAAAAAATATTGGCATCTTGAATTTTTTAGGCAAATGGATGGAGCTAGAAAACATCGTTTTGAGTGAGGTAACCCAGATACAGAAAGACAATTATCACATGTATTCACTCATAAGTACTTTTTAAACATAAAGCAAACAAAACTAGTTCACAAAGCACGATCCCAGAGACCTTAGACAACAATGAGGACCCTAAGAGAGACATACATAGATCTAATCTACATGGGAAGTAGAAAAAGACAAGATCTCCTGAGTAAACTGGGAGCATGGGGACCTTTTGGGAGTGTTGTAGGGGAGGAGAGAGGCAGGGAGGGGAGTAGAGAAAAAATAAAAATCAATTAAAAAAAGAAAAATCCTTAAATAAAAACTAACTCATTAAGTATATACAAAAGTCTTCAACACCACTGAGAAGTATATCTTTGAGTTCTCTTCTTCCCATGTTAGTCTTTTCCCTATTAAGTCCAAGTTGTGCACTGGATTTTACAAGACAAACTTAGTCTCTCAAGCTTTACCTTTAGGCCAGTCTTCTCATCATCACTTCCGTTATTTGTAGATGGTGTCTCATCTCCTTGCCTGGAAACCAAGACAAAATCTTCACTATTAAGAGTAGATACTGAGTCTGAGGAGACACTGATTTTTCCAACAGAAGCCTTGTCATCCATAACTCAAGAATGAGGCTCAACTCATAAATGGTTATATATTTTTAAATGCCTGAAAAACAAAAACCATAAAGATTCATATAAAATATATGTCACAAAATCAATTATGCTCTATTGTTTTAAAAAATGGGCAAACTAAAAATAAAACTTTTTTTGAAAGCTTGTAAAATATTTTTCCAGGACACCTGCTACTTGTAATTTATGCTTTCATTCTGCTAAGGCATTCTATGCTATTCTGGGTCAAAATAGTTCAGATTACAAATAAATAAAACACTCTCTTTATAGTAACCCCACCTACCTACATGGCTGCCTTTGGCACATACTGCAACTCTGGTCTTGGTTTCCAAAAGCAAAGGGGAATTTAACAGTACTCTTGCTTAATTTTTAACACTTTACACATAAATAAAGTTAAAACACCTGGTTATTGTGAAAGTATAATAACTATATTTCCCTACGATCATCAATAGTAAAATTTAAAATATATGATAGTTATAGTAAACAAAATCTCATATTAATACACAAAGGAGATAAATTCAACGCAGGGAAAACAGAAATTCTACATCTTGGAAATATCTTCCAGTAAAAACTCAATCTTCTCCTACACTCTACAAGGCCAGCTTGGTCTACAGAGTGAGCGAGTTCCAGGACAGTCAGGGCTGCACAGAAAAACCCTATCAAGAAAATAAAACAAAAACAGAACTAAAAACCACAACAAAAACAACTATAGCACTATGTTCACTGCATCAATAAAGCAAAGTGTTTAATCTTTCCAACTCAAAGATTAGTTGGCTTAGGCTTTGAATTTTTTTTTTTAAGATCAGTATTTTATGTGTGAAGATCAGTATTTTATGTGTGAACTGACTTTTTTTTTTTTGATTTTCCTGCCTCTGCCTCCTTCAGCAAATCCTACCGGCATGCGCCACCACAACCGGCGCACTGACTTTTTCTTGAATATGTATGTATATCACATGGACGCAGTACCCAATGAGGCATGAGAGGGTTTCAGATCCCATGGAACTGGAGTTAATAATGATTTTGTGCCACAGTGTGGGTGCAGGGAATTGAATCCAGGCCCTCTTCTGTAAGAGCGGTAAGTACTCTTAACCACTGAGGCACTGCTCCATCCCCTGTGCTTTGGATTTTTAACTAAACATATACTTATTGAACATACATAATATGCCAAATACTATTTTCTCATCTAAGTCTCTCTTTTTTTTTTTTTTTTGGTTTTTTTCGAGACAGGGTTTCTCTGTGGTTTTGGAGCCTGTCCTGGAACTAGCTCTTGTAGACCAGGCTGGTCTCGAACTCACAGAGATCCGCCTGCCTCTGCCTCCCAAGTGCTGGGATTAAAGGTGTGCGCCACCACCGCCCGGCCTCTCATCTAAGTCTCAACTAAAACACTTATCAAGAGTTGTACCATTCAGCTGGGCAGTAGTGGTGCACACCTTTAATCCCAGCACTTGGGAGGCAGGTGGATTTCAGTGAGTTCAAGGCCAGCCTAGTCTACAAAGAGAGTGCCAGGCAGCCAGGGCTGCTACACAGAGAAACCCTGTCTCGGAAAAAAAGAGTTGCACCATTCCTAAGTATTAAACAAAATAATAAAAACAGGGGCTGGAGAGATGGCTCAGTGGTTAAGAGCACTGTCTGCTCTTCCAGAGGTTCTGAGTTCAATTCCCAGCAACCACATGGTGGCTCCAAACCATCTGTAATGAGATCTGGCGCCCTCCTCTGGCATGTGGGTATACATGGAGGCAGAAAGTTGTATACATAATAAATAAATATATCTTAAAAAAAATAATAAAAACAAAAAACTACAAATCAGAAATCATCAATAATATTAAACATAAACAAACAGCAACTCCAAAAGAAGGAAAAAAAACACTTAAAAAGCTAATGACACAGATAAGGATAGATTCTATTCTGGACTTTCTGTTGCCTTTTATTTAATTTTCTTCTGCTTTAAGATTATGGTGTCAGGGGCTAGAGAGATGGCTCAGTGGTTAAGGGTCACTGGCTGTTCTACCAGAGGACTCAGGTTCAACTCCTAGCACCCACCTGGCAGCTCACAACTGTCTGTAACTCCAGTTCTACAGGGACCAAAAACCCTTGGCAAAACACTAATGCACATAAAATAAAAGAACTGGAAAAAAACCCAAAAAACAATTACAGAGTCAGGCACAGTGGTACATGTATTTATTCCCAACACTATACAGAGGTAGAAGCAGGCAGATCTTTGTGTATTCCAGGACAGCCTAGTCTACGTTGCTGAGTTTTAAGCCAGCCAGAGCTACATTGGTAGATCCTGTCTCAAGAAAATTAACAAATAAAGATTATCTAGAGACTATGTCTTACAAGACCAAATATAAATGCATAGTAGGGAGGGATATAGCAGTGCTCACTTATAATTCTACCACTCAGGATACTAAGACAGGAGGACTGCTCTAAGTTTGAGGCCAGCCTTGGGTACTCAGTAAGTCCCTGTTTCAAAAATGATGAAATAGGGGCTAGAAACATGGCTCAGAAGTTAGAACACTTTTGGTTCCTGTAAAGGACCCAGGTTCTCTTCCCAGCATGAAGATAACCATGCTCATAACCATCTGTATGTCTGGTTCCAGGAGACGCATGTCTTCTGGACTCTGTGGGTACCAGGCACACATGTAGTGCACATACATAATACATGCACATAAAATGCTCATAAACATTGAAGTTTTAAAATTTTAAATGAATACATAGTACCAGATTGAAAAATACTTTAAAATCATCTTCAGAAAGTCCAAAGAAAAATGTTTTCATTCATCCACTGAATGAATACACATTGAACATTAGATAAAGTAAAAGTAATGTTAGTAAAACAAATCAAAGTCTTAGCAGAGAGGCAATTTTTTTTAAAGCTTTGTTTATTTTATGTATGTGGTAATACTCTCTCTGCATGTACACCTGCATGCCAAGAGGTCATCGGATCCCATTACAGATGATTGTGAGCCACTGTGTGGTTGCTGAGATTTGAACTCAAGATCTCTGGAAGAACTGCCAATGTTGTTAACTGTTGAGTCATCTTTACAGCCCATGTAGAGACGCAAATTTATAAAGGCCAAATATGCTGATTTAGGGTATCAAACTAAGAAACATGTTGGATAAGCACTAACTTAGAATTTTGCTAAGGATACAGACCCCAACACCTTCAGGCTTGGACTTAGTAACAGAGGCCTCCTGTCATCTGTATAGAATCAGCTCGTTTATTTTACCCCTTCTACTTTCAGGAGTCTTTTCAATCCAACTGATCATTTTCACTTGAGTCAAAGGAATTGCTGCTTCCTTTGCTGATGTTCCCACTGCAGTTAAAATTTGATTTTTTTTTAAAACAGTATGTTGTTTGGTAATGTCATGATGAATGTGTCTTAATTTAATCTTCACATTGCTATTTTATAAAATAAAATTGTGAATGAGATGGTTTGACTTGGTCAAGGTACATAACTAATAGAAATCAAGACCAAAATTGTACTGTTATTGTGGGTCCCAAAGCAGAGCTCTATTAAGACAATGCCTGTGTATTAACTAACATCTCAACGCTGAGAAGTTTCTTTTAGAGCTTGTATTTTAAGTCAGTTTTTTATGACGAGTAAGTCTTGGTTCTATTTTAAATTGAAGTCAGTAGTGCAACACCAGCACAAGGCCTGGGAAAACTCTCTAGTATATGGCCCCAGAGTCTAACAACTTTTACCAATACTCTGAAGTCAGAAAGATTTGGTGGGCTCAAATCCCACCTGTTCCTTTGAGGAGGTGATAAAAACACACTTAAGATAATTTACTGTGTTGTTTGCTTTTTTAAAAAAAAAATGCTGGAACTAACTGAATCACTCAGCAGGAATGAAGCTTATCAAAACTACACTCTGAAGACTTCTTTCCATTCTCAATGGACAGACTGTAAGAGCCTTTCCAGCCTTGGCCACGAGCAGCATCACAGAAATCGATAACTTCTGGTAATACTCAGAGACGTATAGTCTCGTGTTAAGACACTAAGGACTAATTTTGTTTTGTTTTAAAATTCTATTTTTATCAGTTAGAACAAGAAGCCGTGATGTGGGAGTCTCCTCTGTGTGCTGTGATTACCATTAATGAATAAAGAAACTGCCTTGGCCTGTTGATAGGGCAGAACTTAGGTAGGCGGGGAGGACTGGACTGAATGCGGGGAGAAAGAAGGACAGAGTCAGAGAGATGCCATGGATTTGCCACTGGAGACATGCTGAAACTTTGCTGGTAGGCCATGACCTCGTGGTGGTACACAGATTAATGGAAATGTGCTAAATTAATATAAGAGTTAGCTAATAAGAAGCTAGAGCTAATGGGCCAAGCAATGATTTAATTAATACAGTTTTTGTGTGATTATTTCGGGTCTAAGCAAGTCAAGCGACCAGAACGAACAAACCACTCCTTGCAACAGATTGGTGCCCACGTGGCCAACTAAATCCACTTAAAAAGGTGAGAGAGTTTGAAAAGGAATTCTAGACACAAAAATACAGAGTTTAACACAGCTTCTTGCTGTTTGCTGGCGTGTGGCAGCTCCTTTAAGAGAGGTTTTTCTGATTCAGCTATAGCAGGAAAAAAGTGCTGGTTTTAAAATGCCAGCTTTCTAGGCCCTGCCAGCGCAAACTCTGACTCTTTCAGGCAGGAAGTCTGGCTACAGAGCATTTGGATGGGGTCTGTTACCAGACTATTGCAGCTTGCTTAATGGTGACATGGACTGGCTGTGTGCATAGCTCTCAAGAGGTGCTAGCAACTCTGCCATGCTGGACTGGGCAGGCAATCAGAGAGTACCATATATACTATAGTAATGGCACAGTTTAAGTTTTAGGCTGGACCAGCAAGAAGACAGAACCATACATACCTTATTAATGGCACATCTTAAGTTTTAAGAAGCACTTAACATTTTAAAAAGTGCTCCTGGACAGTAAAGGATTAGATAAGCAATAAAGACAAAAACATAGTGTTAGATAAATGTATGTAGGCTTGGAAGAGAGAAGAAAAAGAATATAGAGAGTCATAAAATAAAGT